TTCACACACACACTCTTTTTCTCTCCCAAACACACACACTCAGCATTTGTTCCACTTAGGCATTCACTCATTACGCTGTCTATTCCCATCAGTGTCCATGATAGAAGTGTAATTTAACATAATAGCCACTGTAATCATTTTATACACCGCTGCGACTGCAGTTCCTTTGTGCGAGGTGTACATCCTTTTAGCCCCGGGAACCACTTCTCTTTAGTGTACCAAAATCATGCCAACATCTATTAAAAATGTAGGTTTAATCCGGTCTCACTGTGTGATAAAAGAAAAAGAGCCCCAAGGATCAGATTTGACATGTTGTACTATTGCCCTCTCTTCTCTTCTTTTCTCTGTTAGCCAATGTGGTGTACTTTTCATCTTCTCATAGACTTCTCTCGCACTTTGCCCAACTAAGCAGCAGGTGCAGTTTAACCAAAAAATACACAACCAACAGTCCACTCTGAATAGTACTCTACTTTTGTAAACATCTATTAAAGAATGTAGGCTTGATGCAATCTCATTTTGAAAAAAAACCAAGAGTCCACTGGATCAGAATGAATAGATGTTTTCAATGTTAGACTATTTGTATTACTATAATATAACCTACCATATAACACTTGCATTTCAAAAAGGAGTGTTACTTCTTTCTCTCATGTGAGATATGATGGTAATTCTATTCTCATTCACAAAATGATGCCAGGTGTTGGAATGACTACTGAATTGTCTGTGTTTTCTGTATTGTGAGAAAATAACCCTCTATATTCTGTTCTGTTCCCTTTATAGACAATGTGGTGATCTACTCAGAGAAAGATGAGTTTGACAAACTGAAGGCTGCTCCTCAGAAGACAGTAAAAAGGTGAGCAACACGTCGGATTCACACATACCTCCCTTCACCACACAGCTACTCTTTACGTCTAAAAGCAGACAAACTCACATCAAGCTTAATATGAGCAAGTGAAGAAAACTTAAGGGACATACAAAAAGCTTCTACAAGGCTTTAAGATTACAAAGAGGACCTATTCTGTCAGGTTAAGGCTAGAGAAGAAGTACCTAAGTCTTGAAATGATGGAGTTGATACATGATTAGAGTGTGTTCTTAATAATGTTCACATGCTCAGTGTATACTGAGGTTTGATGTAAATGGTTCACTAAACAAAGGAAAAAGGGCTAGTATGTTGTTCAGTGCACTTAATTATATTACAGATAACTTTGACCCCCTAGTGTTTCAAAGTGGTATTATTGTTGGTTCCATTACATTGTGCAATCAATACACATCTCACGACAAGAAGTTAAAGCGAACGTGTCGTTTATTTTATAATATCTGTCTCAATAACTATGTATATGTATGCATCATTGAAGTATGTGAGTGTGTTACGTTTCATAGCTGTGCATACACTGAATGTATGGGAAATCTACTGTGGAATCCACTATGGGATATGTACTGTATGTCATTGATATACAGCAGTGGGTCCTTATCTTTGAGTTTGTATTATGTGCAAGTGTGTGTGTGTTTATATGTGTGTGTTGGCACTTGAATGTGGCGTCAGAGAGGCTTTACACAACAGAAAGAAGCTTTTATTATTTTTTCAGCATCTGCCCGTAATTAAGCCACCACAGAACAAGTCACTGCAGTAGTAGAAGCATTGCTGCTGGCCTATATGTTTGCTGTGTCGTACGTGTGTGTGTGTTTGTATGCGCGTGTGTGTGTGTGTGTGTTTGTGTGTGTGTGTGTGTGTGTGTGTGTGTGTGTGTGTGTGTGTGTGTGTGTGTGTGTAAGGCATGTAAAAAGCATAGCTAAACAAAGTACAGTTGAGGTTCTTTTTGGTTTTTTAATGAAGCAGAAGGCTATTATGTGGCTTCGGAGCAGGCAAAGAGGTGGATGAGGAGGAACGGGGGGGTAGAGGTAGCTTAGATGAGCCCTGAAGCCTAACAGGCGCTGAAATAAGAACAGAGGGGGACGTTGTCTAAGCAGATAGGGATATTTGTTCCAGGCTGCGCCTAAAACCACTACTAGGTGAAAGCTTGTCCTGGCAGACAACAATAGACGACAGTTTTCTCACCTTCGTTTTTCTGCATACATCTCATCCTTCATGTGCAGACAATGCTGCTTTATAGCCACTAATGGGTAGTGTGCAAAGAGAAGTGTGGGAATAGATGATAGCATATTGCACACAAATCTACAGTGAGCCATTGTGCTCAATGTTCTGCCCGCAGTGAACATGCTTAGATTGATACACCGTTTCAATTTATGGATCAAGTAAGGGGAATACACACACACACACACACACACACACACACACACACACACACACACACACACACACACACACACACACACACACACGCACACATACAAATAGACACACACACACACCTCGGCATCAATAGCACTACACACTGTGGTATAGCAGCATGCCAGAGGATGTGCTAACTCACTGCTTTAGCTGCCAGAGTGGGTGTTGGATGTCCGGGAAACAATGCCATTTTGTGTGTATGTGCTCGTAAAGATAGTGTGGGACTGCGAACACAATGGCATTCTGTGAGCATCTCTGTCAACAAGGTGCTTTCGGGAGAAAATCCTGAGCTGGCATTGGGAGGAAGAGGCCAGGTAATCAAATGATATTACATGGTATCATGTTGTAAAACGCAGGGCTATTTCAGTCAATCACAGGAACAGCTTAGAAACAACAACAGCATTATTCTCCAGTTCATCTTCACTTGACAACGTTTGCAAAGACACAAGTCATCCTGTTGGCAATAGCTGTGACTCTCGCCAGAAAAACACTGTATTTACTTTTCTGGGGTTTACTGTTGAATTGTATTTGTTAAACTAAGAGCTGATATAATATTTAGCCTACACTCATTGATACAAATCAGTGGCCAAAGCAAAACTGTATAACTTTTATGAACATAGGACCAATTATATTTGAATGCTTCAGTTTTAGCTAGAATACATATGGTATCCAATAAACTGGCAACAAAGTGTATTTGGGGTTTATCTCAAATCTATTTTCTTCGATTTTTGTCAGAAGCTGGACAAATTTAACTGAAACATTTTATACTAAAAAGTAAAATTCAGTATTTCAATGTTTTCTTTGTAATTGTATAATACTTAGAAAAGATGTCGTATATATGTTAGAAACTACTGTTCATCCTTTCAGTACGTAAACTTAGAAGCTATAGCCAGCAGCCTAGTTAGTTTAGCCTAGCATAAAACTTGGTTTTTTACTTGGTGAGAACTCTGGCCAGACTCGCTGATATTCTGAATCAATACCTACCCTGGGTTAGCATGAAGACATGACTATAAACAGTGAAACAGCTAGCTCTGCTCTTTCCAAAGATAACAACAATCATCCCACAAGCATCTTTAGAGCTAACTGATTACAATGCGCCGAACAAAGGAAAACCTAAACACTGGCAGGAGATCCTAAATGATAAACAGCTGTTTTATGGGATACCTATAAGTATGTGCACATGTCAATATATTTGAATATATGTGTTTGTGTTTGCAGTGAAAATGATGCATCATCCGAGAACGAGCAGCTGTTGAGTCGTAGCATTGACAGCGACGAGGAGGCGGCGTCTGACAAGCAAGGCTCAGCCGAGACCAACACCCCCAACCCCTGCCTCGTCAACCTGGGCAACAAGCCCGACCTCTGCCTGCTCTCTCTGGGCCTCCTGGATCGGGAGCGAGCCTGCAACGGGGCCCCAGCCTACGCCAACGGACAGGCCAATAACACCCAGAGTCCCAATAACACCCAGAGTCCCAACCACATCGGCAAAGTCAACCACATTGCCAGCGCCAACCACATCAGCACTATGAATGCACTGAACAACAACAATAAAACACCAGGGGTAAGAAGATATTTTAAAGATGTTACTAGGGTAAAAATATATGAACCGCAAAAGATCTTAGAAATAACATAATGTGTGCTTTTTGCACACAGATGCTACAGAGTCGAAGGAAAAAGATCTTGGATCTGTATGGCAGAGCCTGCAATGTGACAGAGGGTAAGTCGCGCCGACACAGATGCAAATATCCATCTCACCAAGCCTTTTAATGAAGAACTGATAACTGCCACTATTGTGGGCACATCTAACCTTGTTAACACTAAATATGAAATCTTTGTATCAACTCTGCTGAAGTAAGAAATCATAATGACTTCCATTTTCCAGAAAATCGCTTTAGGAAATTAAACTGGCCGAGAAAGACCTCACTATTCACACTGTTCCACTAGTCAACACAATTCATAACTGTCCTCCATCTTAGTGTAGGGTGTTAGCTTGCTAACATTTGATAATTTGCAGTAAACACAATGTGCAGCGGAGTTTTGCAAGTATTTAGGTATTTTCCTAAGTATTGGAAACAACACTTTTTAAACTAAAGTTGAAGGACATCCTCAGGGGACTAAGAATACCTGGGCCAAATTTCACTGCAAACCATCCATTATTTGTTTTGATATTCAGTTTAGATCGAGATGGTTCATCTATTAACTGACTGATTGATACCCTTCACATCTCACCACTAGCATGGCTAAAAAGGACGAATCTTGATGTAAATGACTGTCCATGTAATACTGACATCTCTAACCCTCCTGTCTCTCTGCAGGCTTGAGCCCCACAGAGCTTCCTTTCGACTGTCTGGAGAAGGCCAGCCGCATGCTGAGCTCGTCTTACAGCAGCGAGGCGGCCGTGGTGAAGACGTGGAGGCACCTGGCCGAGAGCTTCGGGCTGAAGCGCGACGAGATCGGTGGCATGAGCGACGGCCTGCAGCTCTTCGAGAGAGTGAGCACGGCGGGCTACAGCATCCCCGACCTCCTGACCCGCCTGGTCCAGATCGAGAGGCTGGACGCCGTGGAGTCGCTCTGCTCGGACGTGCTGGGCAGCGGGGAGATGGCGGCGGCTGCAGGTCGCCAGGGCAACAGCACTTTTCACAGCCAGTTGGTCTGTACAACCCCATGCCCGTCTCCATCCCAGCGCTGCGCCAGCATCTAAAGACTGTTGTTG